CTTTAAGGGACGAGTAAGGGATGAGGGATAGGAGCCACAGGTCTGGAACCTTCGACTGAGGTTAGATATTGACCCGAGGAATCGATTGCGACCATTATTTTGGCGATCAGACGAAGCCTTGGGGCACTTTTGACGCGCCCCGTCCTTTAAGGGACGATTAAGGGATGAGGGATAGGAGCCACAGGTCTGGAACCTTCGACTGAGGTTAGATATTGACCCGAGGAATCGATTGCGACCATTATTTTGGCGATCAGACGAAGCCTTGGGGCACTTTTGACGCGCCCCGTCCTTTAAGGGACGATTAAGGGATGAGGGATAGGAGCTACATGTCTGGAATCTTCGACTGAGGTTAGATATTGACCCGAGGAATCGATTGCGACCATTATTTTGGCGATCAGACGAAGCCTTGGGGCACTTTTGACGCGCCCCGTCCTTTAACGGACGATTAAGGGATGAGGGATAGGAGCCACAGGTCTGCAACCTTCGACTGAGGTTAGATATTGACCCGAGGAATCGATTGCTACCATTATTTTGGCGATCAGACGAAGCCTTGGGGCACTTTTGACGCGCCCCGTCCTTTAAGGGACGATTAAGGGATGAGGGATAGGAGCCACAGGTCTGGAACCTTCGACTGAGGTTAGATATTGACCCGAGGAATCGATTGCGACCATTATTTTGGCGATCAGACGAAGCCATGGGGCACTTTTGACGCGCCCAGTCCTTTAAGGGACGATTAAGGGATGAGGGATAGGAGCCACAGGTCTGTAACCTTCGACTGAGGTTAGATATTGACCCGAGAAATCGATTGCGACCATTATTTTGGCGATCAGACGAAGCCTTGGGGCACTTTTGACGCGCCCCGTCCTTTAAGGGACGATTAAGGGATGAGGGATAGGAGTCACAGGTCTGGAACCTTCGACTGAGGTTAGATATTGACCCGAGGAATCGATTGCGACCATTATTTTGGCGATCAGACGAAGCCTTGGGGCACTTTTGACGCGCCCCGTCCTTTAAGGGACGATTAAGGGATGAGGGATAGGAGCCACAGGTCTGGAACCTTCGACTGAGGTTAGATATTGACCCGAGGAATCGATTGCGACCATTATTTTGGCGATCAGACGAAGCCTTGGGGCACTTTTGACGCGCCCCGTCCTTTAAGGGGCGATTAAGGGATGAGGGATAGGAGCCACAGGTCTGGAACCTTCGACTGAGGTTAGATATTGACCCGAGGAATCGATTGCGACCATTATTTTGGCGATCAGACGAAGCCTTGGGGCACTTTTGACGCGCCCCGTCCTTTAAGGGACGATTAAGGGATGAGGGATAGGAGCCACAGGTCTGGAACCTTCGACTGAGGTTAGATATTGACCCGAGGAATCGATTGCGACCATTATTTTGGCGATCAGACGAAGCCTTGGGGCACTTTTGACGCGCCCCGTCCTTTAAGGGACGATTAAGGGATGAGGGATAGGAGCCACAGGTCTGGAACCTTCGACTGAGGTTAGATATTGACCCGAGGAATCGATTGCGACCATTATTTTGGCGATCAGACGAAGCCTTGGGGCACTTTTGACGCGCCCCGTCCTTTAAGGGACGATTAAGGGATGAGGGATAGGAGCCACAGGTCTGGAACCTTTGACTGAGGTTAGATATTGACCCGAGGAATCGATTGCGACCATTATTTTGGCGATCAGACGAAGCCTTGGGGCACTTTTGACGCGCCCCGTCCTTTAAGGGACGATTAAGGGATGAGGGATAGGAGCCACAGGTCTGGAACCTTTGACTGAGGTTAGATATTGACCCGAGGAATCGATTGCGACCATTATTTTGGCGATCAGACGAAGCCTTGGGGCACTTTTGACGCGCCCCGTCCTTTAAGGGACGATTAAGGGATGAGGGATAGGAGCTACAGGTCTGGAACCTTCGACTGAGGTTAGATATTGACCCGAGGAATCGATTGCGACCATTATTTTGGCGATCAGACGAAGCCTTGGGGCACTTTTGACGCGCCCCGTCCTTTAACGGACGATTAAGGGATGAGGCATAGGAGCCACAGGTCTGGAACCTTCGACTGAGGTTAGATATTGACCCGAGGAATCGATTGCGACCATTATTTTGGCGATCAGACGAAGCCTTGGGGCACTTTTGACGCGCCCCGTCCTTTAAGGGACGATTAAGGGATGAGGGATAGGAGCCACAGGTCTGGAACCTTCGACTGAGGTTAGATATTGACCCGAGGAATCGATTGCGACCATTATTTTGGCGATCAGACGAAGCCTTGGGGCACTTTCGACGCGCCCCGTCCTTTAAGGGACGATTAAGGGATGAAGGAAGGGAGCTAGGGCAAAATAAATGTCATATTCGTGTTCCCCTTCCCCCAATTGACCTGATGGCAGTTTTTGAAGCGGTTCTGAATTCGACGCTGTATTCGTTGCTGTTGCTGACGCTAACTTCACGGACATGGATAGACTGAGCAGCCCCCAAGCACTCACCGCACCCGGCTACGGGCGAGCTCGGCTTACGGGCAATCCCAAATGGGTTAAAGTTTCCCGTCTAGTCCGGATCAGGGGGTTGCGGCGTGGAGGAAGATTTGAGTTTCCTGAGGATATTTTGAATACAGAAGCTCTTCATGAAACATGAAACATGTATTTTATATTATTTCAACGGTAAAACAGCGGTCGATGTCGGTCCGACGTCGCCCCGACGTCGGCCCGACATCGGCTGGACCTCAGCAATTGATCTCGGTCCGACGTCGGCCTGACGTCGGCTGGACCTCGGCCGGACGTCGGAACATGCGGGCATATCCGACATCCAGCCGACGTCGTGCCGAGGTTGGACCGACGTCGGGCCGACGTCGGCATGCCGATGCCGAGTTGCCGACGTCACCCCGACGTCGGCCGACGTCGGACCGACGTCGGCATGTTTACTGGGTGGCTATCTCAGTTTCAATCCCCATGTTAAAGGTGGCCCTTTTCCTTTAAAGGACGGGGTGCGTCAAAAGTGCCTCAAGGCTTTTTTGGCACTTTTGTCAAAAGTGCCTCAAGGCTTATTGGCACTTTTGACGCGCCCCGTCGTTTAAGGGACGATTTAGGGATGAGGGATAGGAAGCACAGGTCTGGAACCTTCGACTGAGGCTAGGAATTTACGCGAGGAATCGATTGTGACCATTATTTTGGCGATCAGACGAAGCCTTGAGGGTTTTTAGACTCGCCCCGTCCTTTAAGGGACGAGTAAGGGATGAAGGAGGGGAGCCAGGGCAAAATAAATGTCATATTCGTACTCCCCGTCCCCCAGTTGACTTGATTAGAGGGACCCTCCCACCTTCAAAAAAGTTAATGAATTGGCCTAAAAGTGATGTCGCTCGGTTCAGCAAGAGCAAAAATGAATATCTACCAAATTTCATCGAAAAATATTCACCGGTTTTCAAAATATTAGACTTTTACTTTTGTTTACTTTTTGCGATCTCCGCTGTTCCTAGCGACTTTATTTGAAAGTGCGGCATTTGTTGCGCGCAAAGCAGCATATACCACCGCGTGCTGCCAAACGTTTTAGTAAAAGATTTAAAAATCGTTAGATCTCCGCTGACGTCACAAATTCTAAGGGGGCATACCAATGCATTAGCCCCTTAGAATCCGAAAACTGCAAGTTTGAAATTCCATATATCCGAATTAAAGCATTTTTCGATGTTGTGAATGCCCAAACCGGTATTTTCAGGCCATGGCCACCAATTTGGCTATCTCAACTCAAAACTAATGTTAAGGTGGGAGGGTCCCTTTAAAGGTAGTGTGCCAGCTTTCCTGGACCGTATGGAGTTAATGGCCCAGATAAGGAGAACCGGATTTTTAGAACTTATCCATACCTTCAAAACTCATGGAAACGTCTTAAATTCTTCAAATTTTGAGTACCCCAGTGCGAAATTCGCCCCGACGGGTTGTCGGTCGTACCCCAACCGCATTTCACACCACTATGAACAATAAATGCACACACTGAAATCGCTATTACCGATATGCTCATCCAATCAAGTTTCGATAAACCCGTTCATCATCAGCTCCTGCGGTTTCGAACACGCCTGTTAGGTGGTGCGGTAGACCGCGCCCAAAGCCAGGGCCCCGGTAACGTGAGGTAGCCGAGTCAGGGCAGCGTGCGCTGACCCAAGCCGGAGCCGCGCGTCCTCCCGGTGTCATGTGATAGCCCGGGGCTGCCCGCGGGGATGCGGTAGACCGCGCCCAAAGCTGCGGCCCCGGCTTGGGTCAGCGCACGCTGCCCCGACTCGGCCAAGGCCATCTATGACTCGGCTACCTCACGTTACCGGGGCCCTGGCTTTGGGCGCGGCTTCTGCTCATACTTTGTGGTGCGGTGGTGGTGCGTCGGGCTGCGCGCTCTGACTTCGGCCAAGAAAAATGCGTCAGCTGATCATTGTTATTTCTGCCACTTGCGTGTGGTGAAATGGGGTCATAACTTATGAGACGGCTTTTTCATATCAATTATTTTACATAAAATCATATTTCAAACCATAAATAATGTTCGACAGCCAAATAAAAGAAACAATACCAATACAGGCTTACAGTTTAAGGCTCGACATTGTGTTGTCTACGATTAGACAGCTGATAACTCATTCCCGTACGTCGTATGGTCGTAACACTATAATGGCCTTTGCTTATTGTCACATGTGCGCCGCATTCGCGATTGTTGCCGACGCCTGTTTACAGGTGAGCCCACTACAGTTGTTATACATATCTAAAAACCGATAAACTTTTAGGCGAAAAAGGCACTATTCCAGGCCCATTTTTGATTTTTTTTTGCGATATTAGGTAAAAACAGAAGCTTCTTATCCTAGGCAAAATAAAATGGGAAATCTTTCAAAGGTGGCACACTACCTTTAAGCGATTCTGAATCCGACACTGTACTTACCTATTCGTTGCTGTTGCTGACGCTAACTTCACGGACATGACGCTGAGTACGATTACGAATACGACGCTTATTTGATGGACATCAGTTTCACAAGCACTATGTTTATTTCCGCTTCCTTGACGGCATGTGGTCTTTATCGTGTGTATTGAATAAGAAAATTTGATTTCTGAGAGAAATATTAATGCAGGAGATATATCGTTATTAGAGGGAAAACTTTGATTGTGTAGGTCTACAAACGATCCCAGGCGTAAAGGAGACAAAGAACAAGAACATAGGAGATACTGCTCCACCATGGCGCTCTCTCAGGTTGAAAGGTAGGTAAAAAAGAATTTCGATTAATGAAAAACAGCGAAATATTTGTTCCAGTCAAGACCCATGACATAATATGTTAAAAGGTAATAGTTCACTTTTAACATGGGTTTTTGAATTGGAATAGCAGTTTTGTAGTAACATAGTTAGAGTTGAGACTAGCACAAATCAGAAGCTTTTCATTTTACGGCCCAACAAACCTTAGACGGATATTTCATTTCCTTTCCATAAAGAGTGCCTTGCTGAGGAATGCAGCCATGTAATCGTCAGCCGATCAGCATGCTGCTTACAGCCAATGGGTTTGAACTGCGCAATATGCTTGGTTGACACAAAATAATGCGTACGAGTCTAACAATATTTTATATGGAATGGTTCTTCCTTTTTATGGTTCTTCCTTTATTAAAATATCACCTTTTTGGGCACAACTTCAAAAAGTTGAAGACCAAATTCAAAATGTTCACGTGCATTTCAAATGTAAAATTTTTGAATTTGGTCCTTAACTTTTTGAAATTATGCATAAAAAGGTGTAGAAAAAATCGTTTTTATAAAAAGTTTCTTTTTTCTTTGCTGATCATTTTGAGCATAAAAATTGTAAATCCATTGCAAAAAAAAACTCAGGGAAGTGAACTATTCCCTTAAACTACAACCTATGATGTCAGCTCACAAAATGCACTGATTGCAGCCAGCAGTGTGCCATGAAACGGTACCCTCATAGGAACTAGGGGTCTAGCAAATGGTTCATTCCCACCCAGGGTTTACCAATTAGATATATCATTCACTGGAACATTAAATTTCCTGCTTAGCATCTGGGATTAATTATAAAATACACTTGGCTGTGGGACGGGAAATTTAATGAAGCATCCAGGTAGTTAATGTAGATTCTAAATATGGAAGTGCTCTCCCCTACAAATATCACACATTGACTTATGTCATAAAGCTATTGGTATTTTTATCCAACATGAAATATGATTTATAAAATGTGAAACCTGATGTAACCATACCTATTACCTACTAAAGGCCTTAAGTTCAGTATAGCTTATAAATATGGCAGTATAGCAGTATATCCTATGGTAACTATACTAACAATTGTCCGCTGTAAAATATCTGGTGGCTATTGGATGTTTAAAAAATAAAATATTCAATAAATCAATCACTTAACTGTGTCACACATGATAAATTAATCACTCAACTCAATGCAACTTGCTATGAAGTGTTGATAAAGGAATCCTGAAATTCATTTGAATAGGATATTACTCATGGTTTATACAGCTCAGGTATAAATTCCCTCCTTTTAAGTGTCTGCACTCTCTTTTTGTTTGTTTTGGACTCAACAATGGACTCATTGATAGCAAAACAGACATAATTAGAAAAAGGTCAATCATAGCATGAGTGCATGCCAAAGAAAAATATGGGGATAAGGTATAAAATGATAAGTGTTCTCATGAGTGACCAAGTTTGTCGAATGTTGTGTTTCTGAGGAAGATTTCTACCTGATCTGTTTTTTGTTCCACCTAGTTGCATAGATATATATCATTCAGGTAGTGTTGCATCACTTGCATTGCATTACAATATATTGATTGTGATGGTTCTAGTTTCTGGATGTGAAAGCAGTTCAGCATCAAAGCTCATGTATTGACTGGCTCTTAAAGTTCCGTTGTGCATTATTTGCAAAATCAGCATTAACATTTTGCATTAACATCTTCTTCAGCCTGCAGGTTTCAAGATTTCATTAGCTGTGACTGGTCAAACTGTCATTTATTCCTTATTCTCACCAGCTAGTTTTTCCTTTTTTGTAATTATTTTTGTATGCCTCAATATTAACTGCTTAAGACATATTTTTATCATTTCAGTGAAGCAGTCTTTGTCAGTAAGCTAATTGGCCTTCAGTGTTTTGTTAACATTCGATAGTGTCAATTCATTACTTAAGTGCCTCTACCTTGGATTATTAAGCACTGCAATTGTCCAGAGTCTATTTCAATTTAATATCTTGTATTTAAATTTTAGAAATTTGGTTTGGTAGACCATGCTTGGCTCAGCAGTCAGCAATGACAGTCATGCTCTGCATACTGGAATGGCTGTCAGATCAATTGTCATATGATTGCATTTTTTTTTTCTTAGCCTGTCAATATGTGGATTACAAACATTAAAACATTTCTTTCGAACCGTAAACCAGAGCAACTTTGGTCCATCGGTGCAACTTTGGTCCACCATGGAAAAGATACTTTGCTGATTTTTTTATAAATCCATCGTAATATTTAGGACATTTTTTCATGCAGGCAATTTAGCCCAATATGTGCCCTAACTATGTGTGAACAGACCTGCTTTTGTTATGTGACATTGACAGCAGCAGAATTTTTATAATAAAAGCCTTGATTTTGGCGCAAAAAAAAACAGAAGTTGCTAGGATGATGTAAGGAGCGGAACTGGTAAGAACTGGAGCGACACTGGCTATCTAGACAGTAAGTACATGAGTTCTCCAAAGACTTAGAGGAAGAAAACCCCCATTTTCTTTTTATGGTCATTTTTTAGGGGTGGTGGTCAAAGTTGCAAGCACTTTTTCCGTCAAAATGCTACAACTTTGGTCCACCAGGAAATCATTCTTAGGAAGCTTCTCGTCACTATAGCATACTTTTTTCGTCATTTATGACAGTCAATGCTGGAAGTTATTGATGTTGATAGTCGATTGGTTATGCTGCAGGGTGTCCCTCATGGAAGAGGGACACCCTGAGGAACAACAAAGTGAAGGACCAGCTCCAAGCAGGAACAGCATTCAAGTTGGTGATTTTGTAGAGTTCCTGTACGAAGGGAGGGTGTATCGGGGTGAGGTGGTGGCTGTCGCAGATGATGGGCCGAAAATCCGTGCCATGGAGCAGTTTGGTAATAGGTTTAAGTGGCCTAGGCATGATGATATTCTTACCTACTTATTCAGCGATGTCATCCGCAAGCTCCAGCCTCCCATCCCGGTTGGCACCCGTGGACAATTCACCTTCATTTGTTAGAGAACTGTCAAGTGACTTCTGAAGGTGCTGAGTTTTGTGGTTCTTACTCAGCCGCTCATTTAAAAGCCAGAGTGCCCATGTGATTTTACTCCATCCAAAGCCCGGAACAGCCGTTCACTGTGAAACTGTTGCCCCATTGTAAACCAGTGTTTCTGTGATTGTTTTCAGCCAGTTGAAGTCCTGGTGTGTCAGGATATTTTTTAAAAGAACTTATGTGGACCAAAGATGCTCTGTAAAATACCATTTTATTCGTTAGCATTGAATAAAATAGGATTATAATCAGTGGTACAAAGTTGTAAAACCCCTCTACAACTTAGACCACTTGTTCAATAAAAAGAATAAAATAACTCAAGATGCTAGCATTCTTTTACTCTAGAGCAAACTGTTGACAAAGGTTGTAGCTTCCACGTTGCAAAAAACTAGCCAGATTGGACAACAATTAAAAAAGATATTCAACAAAAACCTAAAAAGTGGTACAAAGTTGCTCTGGTTTACGGAACTATGAAGTGTTTTGGTAGATCATCACATTCACACAAGCCTGTCAGCCCCGCCACCCCCGACCCGAGCCGTCGCTGATGGGGTGGCCCCGTTTCAGCTACGTGGGTATGTCAGACATATCGTCTCCGGACGAGTTCGGTCGCGAGTCGGCCTCCAAACGCTCGCGCAGCGCCTCACCCGAGGACGACGCGCGTGGCCGGTCGTCACACAGGTCCTCCAAGAAGAAGAAGAAGCACCACCACCGCTCCAAGAGTCACAAACATAAACACTCCAGCAGCAAACACAAGTGAGAAGAGTCGGCAGCGCGAGGGTGAAATAAGCTATACTGATTAGTGATTTGTTATGTTAAGTGAAGATGCTCTTGATTATAAAAATTCAATTTAAGCTTTTTTTCTGTGAGACAATAAGTCCTCTAATTATGTGAATAGCATTTCATGACATCCAATCCTTTTCATAATGTTCTCACCGTTATTCAAAGCAAGCTTCTCTCAAAGCTCATAAAATATCTCCTATGCATTATGGAGGAAAGTTTGCCTGAAGGTGACAGCCCACCGCTCATTCTCAGGAAACACAAGCGGGACCGGCACAGACGTGACCGGGATCGGGACCGCTCGCGGTCCTCGGCGTCCCCGCGGCACAGCGACGGCGAGCGGGCCGGCTCGCCCGCGCCGGTCCCCGCGCCGGTCCCCGCGCCGGTCCCCGCCCCGGTCCCCGCGCCTGTGCCGGCACCGGCCGTGTCGAACGGCGCGCCGCAGCCGGTGCCGCCTCCGGCGCCGGTCATCCGTCTGGTGGACGTGGAGGACTCGTCAGACGAGGAGGCGCGCCGGCGCGGACCCTCCATGCCGCTCAGCAATGAGGACACCATGGACGCCACCGCGCCGCTCGAGGACACACTCGACCTTGACGACCTCATGCACCAGAAGGTGGGGGCGCGGGGGCGGAAAGGCTGAGCGGTAGGTATACACTAGAAGGTAGGAGCATGGGGGTGGAATGGCTGATCGGGACGGGAGACAGGCGAGGTCGCAGTGAGAATGGGCAGTATGAAAATAGGCTGAACAGGAAACTGTAGGCTAGTGTAGCTAGGAAACACATTTTAGCCTTGGAAGCGTTACTAAATACTCGTGATAAACAGCGGAGGGCCCCAATCGATGACAAATACTGGCGGGTTACTGCTCACTGGTGGCGCGAGCCGGTCTAGGCAGCATTTCTGCTCGTCTTTCCTGATGGACTGTGCACGTATTTCCGTGTTGTGGTGGCCGAATGGCTCCCAGTGAAGCCCGATATCGTTGTTTCTGTGCCTTTGACGTTCATCTGTTTGACGTCCTCCCGTGGGCCGTTCGGCAGGCGCTGCTGCAGGCCCGGCTGGACGAGGTGTTCACCGAGGTGCGAGAGGAGCTGGCGCAGCGGCCCGCCGCCCAGAGGCGCGCCGCCGGACATCAGGAGGTCATCAACGTCGAGGCCATGCCGGACGTCATCGAGTTGAGTGACGACGAGCCGAGCGGTGCGGGCGGCGGCGGCCGGTCGGAGCGGCGCAGGAAGCACAGGTGAGGGCGGCGGCCGCGGCGGCCCGGGGGCCGGGCAGGCTGCGGAGGAGGGCGGGCGGCTCGGGGTAGGGCGGGGAGCTGGGAGGGTGAGAGGCTAGGTATGAAAGGAGATTCGAGCTCAAAGCGCTGTGGAAATTATATGTACTTATGGGTATGATGCGGCCTGGTGTTCGGGGAATTCCAGCTTTCATAAATATGCAAGATATTGCAGCAAAAATTGGGGGTGAGGTACAAGCGCCGGGAGGAGATGGAGCCGTCCCGTAATTGGGACAATTAAAAGCCCGTTGGAGGGAGGCCTGGATAAAAAACCGACGTTTCGTTTACGATAACTTTTCAAGGGTAATGCATAGTTAGTTATAGTAAACGAAACGTCGGGTAATTTTTGTTGCAATATCTTGCATATTTATGAAATAATTACCACATGCCGAGATATCCCTTTAACATTAGCACGTGCATTTGGGAAATGGCTTCGGCCCGCCTCGGCTAATGTTGAAGGTATTTGGGAAACGATTCGGCCCTAGGGCTTTTTGATTTTCCCAGACAAAATTTTACTGTATATTCTGAGCGGAAGAACCAAATCCAAAGAAGATATTTACGGATTGTGTGTTCACTAACAGCAACAGCAACAGTGGCTGCGTGTTTACTTACTTTTGCTGTCAACGTAATTCAACTAAACAGGGTTATCGTTTCAATGTCAATGTATTTATTGCTGCAGAACATGGTCAGAATAATTACTACATAATGCACGCAAAACAAAAACGAACAATTTAAATGCGCGAAGCATCTTAACGCGCCGCAATGAAACATTTGATATTGTTCCAGCTGGGATCCAAGAAGTGTTTGATTCAGAGTTTCACCCAATTTTCAGTTTTCCTCACGATTTCCTCACTCCTGCTGGACTCCATATCTTTATTCTATCTTCTGGCTCTCCACCATCTTCATCCTCAGCTTTTTCAAACCCTAAATAAGGGGGAAGTAGGGAATTTCATCTCATTCATACTCAACTCAACGCAGCCCAATAATGAAAAACACAAAAAATAATTACGGTTACTATAAATATGAACATAGTTTTAATATAATATTAAGACAATATTAAGAATATAATATATAATATCAAATAAATATAATATTACAGGGTGGGGCAGAAAGATTTACCTGTTTATTTTCGGTCAATAACTCAAAAAGTTATAAACGGATTTTGATAAAATTTTGCATGCAGCTTTCTAACTGACTCATGTATCAACATTATGATCCTTTTTGCATTTTGTAATATCTGTTGGCGAGCTATAGCGAAGATGACTAAGAGAGCCCAAATTGCGGCGCTGAAGTAGGTTGGCCATAGCTCCTGAAGCGCTGCCAAACAGCTCGGTGTTGCCGTAAAAACTGTTTGCAATGTAATTAAATGACTTAAAAAGACAGCCTTAGTGTCGACGAAGTCCATGCCAGGCAGAACAAGGAATATCTGCTTCAAAAAGCTGGTAAATATCGTGCACAAGAAGGCGTTTCAAGTTCTAGGCGAAGCATGCGCAAACTGCCAAGGGAACTCGGTGTTTCGCCAAGAACCGCCAGGAGAATCATAAACGACGGCTTGGGCTTCATGTCATACAGTGTGCAACATCGGCACCTAATTTCGGCGGGATCCAGGGAAAAGCGGCTACACAGGACCCAAAAGACATTGGAAGAGATGAGGAGCGCCGGTAACAAGGCATTCTTCTGGTCCAATGACAACATTTTCATGCTTGAGCCCCAGAGACACTCCCAAAGCGTCAGATTTTTGGCAGATGGTCCATCCAGCATTGATCCTGCTATTCGCACCATTTTTCGTCGCCAGCAGCTTGCTGGTGTCTTGGGTTGGGCTGCCGTCGCATGCGACGGCTCAAAAGGAACCTTGGTCTTCATCAAGGAGGCTGTAAAAGCTAATTTACAGGATTAAGTCCATCTGATGGAGAAACACGCTTTGCCTTGGGTCACTCAGTCGTTCCGAGACGGATACGTCTTCGTCCAGGACGGTGCGCCGCCGCAAACGGCCAACATCGCTCAACCGTGGTGGGAGACCCACATGCCTGGGTTCTGGGACAAAGACATTCGGCCATCATCAAGTCCAGACCTGAACCCGATGGACTTCGCAATCTGGACCATCTTGGAGAGGAGGGTGTGTGCAGCGGCACACAGCAGAATCGCCGCCCTGAAGCTGGCCCTCGAGACGGCACCGTCGAATCTTGGCGGGGACACCGTGCGGCGCTCGTGCCCCTCCGCAGAGGAACGTTTCGAGGCAGTGGTGAAGGACAAAGGTGACCCTATGGAGTCATAATGCCGTTGCTGAGATGTGTACATGTTACTGCATATATGTGCCAGAAATCAATTTCATATCTTTGTTCGGGGCCGAAATATTTAAGAAAATCAAGAGGTAAATCTTTCTGCCCCACCCTGTAACTGTTGCGCCGATACGGCATGTGGTAAATCTCTTCCCAACCTTGGGCTGTGAAAATGCAGTTTTATTCACCTCGGTTTTTGGCTACGGACCTCGTGCCTACCGGCACTCGGTCCTCCGCACAAAAACCTCGGTGAATAAAACGCATTTTCCCAGCCCCGGTCGGGAATATATATTGTCACATTACAACTCAACATGTCGAATGCCAGATTGTTACACGACCCGTCTCGTTTCAGATCCAGTGAGAGGGACTCGCACCGGCGATCGTCCCGTTCGGGCAGAGGGGAGTCCCGGTCACGGCGGGATGAGTCCAGGTCACACAGAGATGAGTCCAAGTCACATCGCGAGGAGTCCAGATCGCATCGAGACGAATCCAGATCGCACCGCGAAGGCTCTCGGCCGCACCGCGAGGAGTCTCGCTCCAGGAGAGAGGAGCGCCGCCACTCGGAGGGCCGCCGGGACGAGCGGCCAGAGGACCGGGACAGGGACAGGGAGCGGCTGGCCGAACAGCGGCGCCGCGGCCGCGAGCCGGACCGGCGCGGCACCAGTCGCGAGGCCCGCGAGCGCCGCGAGAGCCGCGAGCGTCTGATGGAGCGGCGGGAGCAGCGGCGACTGGAGGAGGACCGCGACGGCCGCCGGGACCGACGGTGAGAACCGGACGGACGGACGGACGGGCTGGGTCACTTTCCACTTCAGTGATTAGGGTACTGTTGGGATAACTGTTGATAGCAGCGCATTGGTTGTGAGTTGTTGGTATTGACATAAATGCTGAATATATTAATTTGGATTTTTATCCTCTGGTATGAGCAATAGTTAAACTCGCGGTGTTGACAGCGTTGGCTCGCCTTCACTCTTCAGTCGATCGCCCTCTGAGCTCGTTGTACGCAGATGTAATCGTATGTGGGTAACCGTGTGGTGTCTGTCGGCAGCCGCTCTCGCTCTCGGGACAGGGACCGGCGCCGGCGGCGGGACGACGACGACGACAAGGACAAGTTCAAGGGCAGCCTGTCCGAGGGCCTGCTGGCGCAGAAGGAGGAGGAGAGCGATGACGAGTGAGTGCCCGGCGGGTACACCCGCGGCCGGCCGGCCGGGAGCCCTCCCGGCGCCCGGGCCCCGGTCGGTGCCCGCTGCCCGGCACTGACCGTGTGGGACGCACTGTCCGGACTTGGATCATATAGGTTTAGCCGAAGGGTTCAGCAAAAAATTATAAAATAATTCATATATGTATAATTGCCAGCTTACTGCTTATCTTACTCAACACTGATGATAAACCTGGTATAAATGGACACTAAGCCCGCGTTCGGAGTCTCTCGGACGACGAAGATTCTGCGTCGTCCGGCCAATCCCGTTCCATAACCGCAGCCAAGCCCCCGCTGACCTTGAACGGGATTGTTTTGTCTCCTCTGCCCCGTCTGTCGCTGCCCGCTCACCGTCTGCCGCCTTACCGTCGCTGCCCGGTGCCGCAGGCTGCTGGATCTGGAGGTGAACGAAGACGACGACGAGGAGGCGCAGATCGAGCGCCGCCGCCGCGAGCGGGAGAAGCTGCTGAGGAAGCTGGGCGCCGGCACCGAGGACTCGGCCGCCTCCTGGTCGCACTCGCAGCCGGGCAGCCCGCCGGAGCTGAAGGTGCTCGACAGCCTGAACGCCTCCGCCGCCACCAGTCCCGTGCCCGCCAGGTGAGAGCCGGCTGGTCCATACGCAGGGGATGGGTCTCCGCCGCCACCAGTCCATTTCCCGCCAGGTGAGAGCCGACTGGTCCATACGCAGGGGATGGGTCTCCGCCACCAGTCCATTTCCCGCCAGATGAGAGCCGACTGGCCCGTGTGTGCGCCTGTGATGGGCCCTCCGCCGCCAGTTCCGTGCCCGCCAGGTGAGAGCCGACTTGTCCATACGCAGGGGATCGGTCTCCGCCACCAGCCTCGTGCCTGTCTTGGTCGCGGTGCACCCTGTATCTTTGACCAGCTGTTGTATGATAACTCACGAGATGTGTGCATGGAGCGCCGATAAAAATGTAGACATCAGTCTCACTTGCTAGCACGCATATTTGTTCCCGAGGGGACCTGTGACCTGACTCCTTTCATCGTCTCTGCTGCCTCCCCTAGTTAGGCTGAACTTTACCCGAAATGTCCCCCCCCCCCCGTCCCGGAATGATGACTTAAAGTGACCTGTAACCTCTTCTGTCCGCAGCGCCCCAGAGCGTTGACCTGAAGTGTTTTGTCACCTTTCACCTCTCCTGTCGCTGTGATCTCTGACCTCTGAAAGTCCTCAGCGTACCAGGATAATGGTCTGTGGCCTCTTTTCCCCCAGTGTCTGCGGTGCCGTGACGCCGTCCCAGGATAATGACCTCTGACCCCTCCTCTCCCCAGCGCGCCTGCCGCCGTTCCGGAGCGGCAGCGGCGGCCCAGCGAACTGGAGCGAGCCGCCGCCATGGAGGCCGAGCTGCGCGAGGCGGCGCGCAAGAAGAGCCGCGAGGCGGCCCTCAGCGCCGCCACCGACATATTCGCCGAGCATTTCGACAGTCCGGGTGCCGGCGACCAGGCGGTCACTCACTTCACCGACAACCCGCACCTGCGTGACAACTGGGACGACGCAGAGGGCTACTACCGCGTCCGCATCGGCGAGCTGCTCGACGGACGGTGAGACGGGGGGCGGCGGAAGGGGGATGTGAGGGGGCCACAGGGAACGATAGAGGGGGGGGGGGCAGCAGGGTGCTGCTGGGTGAGGAGAGATGTACGCGGAGGAACGAACTGGTTACTGGTAAATCCGCGGATTGCGTCGGAAGTAAAGAAACAACGTTGGAATTGGGCTTTGTATAATTTGGACGGGACAGGGGACATGGTATTAACAGACATTTTGACAGGACAGTGGTTGCCAGGTAAGGTGCTGTTGATGTTGAATTTCATTGCTCATCTCCTTCCTCTTCTTCCTCGTCGAACTCTCCCTCCTCCTCGGCGGTGGCGTCCTGGTACTGCTGGTACTCGGACACCAGGTCGTTCATGTTGCTCTCGGCCTCGGTGAACTCCATCTCGTCCATGCCCTCGCCGGTGTACCAGTGGAGGAAAGCTTTGCGACGGAACATGGCGGTAAACTGCTCCGAAACCCGCTTGAACAACTCCTGAATGGCAGTACTGTTGCCGATGAAGGTAGATGACATCTTGAGACCGCGTGGCGGAATATCGCACACGGCCGTCTTGACGTTATTTGGGATCCACTCGACGAAGTAGCTGCTGTTCTTGTTCTGGATGTTGAGCATCTGCTCGTCCACCTCTTTCATGGACATGCGTCCACGGAAGATGGCTGCGACGGTGAGGTAGCGGCCGTGGCGCGGGTCGCAGGCGGCCATCATGTTCTTGGCGTCGAACATCTGCTGGGTGAGCTCGGGCACGGTCAGCGCCCGGTACTGCTGGCTGCCGCGAGAGGTGAGCGGCGCGAAGCCCGGCATGAAGAAGTGCAGACGCGGGAAGGGCACCATGTTCACGGCCAGCTTCCTGAGGTCGGCGTTCAGCTGGCCGGGAAACCGGAGGCAGGTGGTGACGCCGGACATGGTGGCCGAAACTAGGTGGTTCAGGTCGCCATACGTGGGCGTCGTGAGCTTCAGTGTACGGAAACAGATGTCATAAAGCGCCTCGTTGTCAATACAATAAGTCTCGTCGGTGTTTTCGACCAGCTGGTGAACGGAGAGGGTGGCGTTGTACGGCTCCACGACGGTATCAGATACCTTCGGCGATGGCACAATGCTGAAGGTGTTCATGATCCTGTCGGGGTACTCTTCACGGATCTTGGAGATGAGGAGGGTGCCCATTCCGGAACCGGTGCCGCCTCCCAGGGAGTGCGTCATCTGGAAGCCCTGCAGGCAGTCGCAGCTCTCTGCTTCCTTCCTCACCACGTCGAGGACGCTGTCCACCAGCTCGGCGCCCTCTGTGTAATGCCCCTTGGCCCAGTTGTTGCCGGCGCCGGACTGGCCGAAGACGAAGTTATCCGGCCGGAATATTTGTCCGAACGGCCCGGCGCGCACAGAGTCCATTGTGCCGGGCTCCAGGTCGACCAGCACCGCCCTCGGCACGTACTTACCGCCGCTGGCCTCGTTATAGTAGACGTTAATTCGCTCCAGCTGCAGATCCGAGTCGCCATGATAGGTACCGGTGGGGTCGATACCGTGTTCGTCGGAAATAACTTCCCAGAATTTAGCGCCAATCTGGTTGCCGCATTGGCCTGCTTGAATGTGGACAATTTCTCTCATTTTCGTTGCTTTTTGTTTGTTACAATTGAGACGAAAGACAGGACAAAACAATTAACACTAAAACCGGTAAAATAACATACCCACCCCAGTTTAATTTCCTGCTGTGAAACTCTAGTCGCTTTTCTACCGTCTATTGTTAATCGCGAGGTGAAGCGCGCGCGTACACCATTGACATGTTTCGCTTTGAGAGGATTTGTTTTGGATTTTGTTGTAAATTGAAGAGCTTGTTTTCCGTTGCCATTCTCAGGGTATATAAAATTGTCTTTTGTCTGTTTATTTTAACGCGATTTTATGCGGGAAATATGCATGATGCTTATAAGACAATAAATTTTGCATTATGCTGCTTTTTTAGTATCGTGCTTCTGTACCCAGACTATCATGAGCTATGTACTGTGTCTGTTGCCTTTTGTTACCATACTGTTGGCTAGAAATTTTCACGACTTTTGTGTGTGTGCGTGTTTTTTTTTTTGCATTTAATCCTTTGGGCGTTTGATGATTGCTTACAAGTGCTGGATTACCAACATGCTATTTATCTGTACCAGCGATAATATTGTAGGCGCTTTTCGCTACTATTTCCAGACGTTGTTTATTCAAATATTGTTTCATTAATTACAATTTATAAATGTTTCAGGGAATATTGATTTCATCATGCGAGGGTTCGTCGTACTTTTTTTTAGTAAAATTGTGTCTAGCACCTACCTTGAAAATTGAAACTTAACCCGCACACCGACGGGGGTCTGCGCCAACTTCGCACCGACGCACAGTGTGGCCAAACACCAGTTTAGCGCGAATTAAATCCCAGCGCTGCTCGGATCCGTTGAAAATGGTCCGCTGGTTGCAAAATTGACACTTAAACATATGTGAGACCTTTTACGATGCATGATAAATGCTTGCTGACATATAATGGCATAGTTCCGCCTCTAAAAGTAAGGAGAACTAGCTTACGACGGGTGATGTGCTTACCAGGCCAGGGCTGTGAAGTCGATGGAGTTACTCCGACTCCGACTACGGCTTTCAAAAGTCAATTTCAACTCTGACTCCGGGCAAAACTGTCGACTTATACGATCGACTCAGACTCTGACTCCGCAGCCATGGCAAGTCCACGCAGTCGATGGATTTTCGGTGACTCAGACTACGAGTCTTGGTCCGGATTCCAAAAACGATTCCGATTCCGACTCTGACTGGGGTCAGAACTGTTGACTCCGAACGACTCAGACTCTGATTACGAAATCCTGGAATTTAACCGCAAATAAGAGGCATAAAATTGTGGGTCCCAGCAATGATGAGCATGTTAGGAGGAGGAATCGTTTACGAAATTCCCATCATTTCTCTGGTAAATTCTTATGATTCTCCAAAGTTTGCTTGAAAAAAAAAATCAACATCTAATTATGTTTCTGTGTGAATGTTCCTGGTCAAGCACATGAATCGGTACCTAGATGGTTGTTGAAATACACGCACCGATAGGACTGAACCTCAGCAATGGGAGTAAAAACAAAGACTTACACCATAAGCACCTTCATGTCATTAACCCTCGCCCGTATTGGTGTTTTGCTAGCCGCGAACGTAGGTCGGGTTAAGTCAGGTCAGGCCAACCAGTCCTGCCGGGTATTCATAATTAATAGGTGTCAACCGCCAGTGACAGCTTCGTTGCATGTTACGATGGCACCAAAACTTCTTCCTAAATGTTCAAATGGTTACTAAATTCGAAATCAGCTCCAAAAACTAGCCTGGAAGCATGTAAAACTAAAATAGGTGAACCGAGGTCATCAAAGATCATTGAACTGACCTGACCTTCAAGTGATCTTGACACCGACCATAATGCATGGGACCAACATCATAATATCACATGTGTAGACGCTTGAAACCACGAAAAGACTGCAAACGCGCGGCTAATGCAAGCAAACATACGCCCAATCGCGATTCCGGCCAAACATGGTCTCGAGAAATAGGTCACAGGTCAAAGGTCATTGGGGTCAGGGTCGTGAAATTTAAAGGGTAGGTGTAAAATTGATAAACTCGAGGGTACTGAAAGTTTCGTCGCGATCGGCCGCTTTTTTACATGAGCTTTTTGCGAAAAACCGAGAGGGGTCCTTTCGACCCCCACCCTCACCCCCTATATGGGCGAGGGTTAAAAAATTGTCAAGATTTATTCATTGGCGACCGTATTCTGCAATATAACAAGTCAGAAATACAGCGGTTGAGCCATCCGCGTAACGTTACGGAGCCGCCGCCGCGCCCACCTTGTAGCCGGACCTCCCCGGGCGGGCCAACCCGATACGTTCAAAGCTGAGCCAAAGGCCGTGGGGCAGGTTGGGGCAGGGTTTCTTGAATGGATCATGTCCAGAAAAGTGTGGCGAATCTTCTCATGGTAGATTTGGCGTGGAGTTTTCTGGCCATTTTCTTATATCTCTACGTTTTTAAGATGGACAGTGTTTTCAGGGGATGTCTGAAAAGGTCATTTTCAAATGAGCATAACTCATCGGTTACTCCAAGGATACGTATAGAATTCGGGTATACTATCAAATATAGGCTCAGTAGTCATATGCCACTCCAATTATTTCCAAACCCTTCCGACAATTACGCCAAAATGTGTTGTAAACATGACGCGGGTTTTCGATGATTTCAGCACAGCCGGGACCGGCATTGCGTAGGTCCACTTTAGCTAGCCTTTTGGACACCGAAAGGAAGACATTGAACCAAAGTATTATGGTATTGACATACTTTGGACAATTTCCTATCGACTGATAGTTATTAAAATTCAAAATTCCAAAATTCGTTTTTTGATTAAATTCGCGCTAATCTGGCGTTTGGCCACACTGTGCGACGGGGGGGGGGCGGATGACCGCCCCCCCCTGAGATCTCGAGAACGAAGCAAGATAGCGACAAGCGGTAAACGGCAAGGGATACGCACGGACAAGGTCTACAATTTTTACTAAGGTCATTTTCAGGTCAGGTCAAAGATGACGTCACAGGGGTCAAAAAAGTCAAAATGGCGGCGCTAGGTATGAAGAGATTTCTCGAATAACTTTCGAACTAGTCAATATAGGAACAAACTAAGGGCAGCATTGTGATCCTCTCGTCAATCCGCATCGAATGATATATATGTTGACCTCGAAAGGTCAAGGTCAAAGGTTGACCTCAGGTCACGTGACCTCGAGGTCATCATGTATATCATTCGATGCGCCTTGACGAGCTGAACACAATGAGACCATCCGCGCGGCTGTATCTTGTTCCTGTACGGAGTTATTGTCAAAAAACCGCTGGTGACCTTTGATGACGTCACATGACCTTACAGCAAAACAGACCTCAAGGTAGTGAAGGTTGATCGTATATGAGGTCATGTATGGTTTATGGGGCCATTCCGACCCGTTTTAGTGGTAAAAACAGGGAGTTGATTTTTCCCCCATTGACTTATAATGGGGAGGTCGAGAAATTGACCTGACCTTAGGTCACCGATATCAAAATTCCGAGATATACAAATTGTAGCTACTAATGACCTCATAACATCCTGCGACTTTCAAAGGCCTCCGACATCTACTGTAGCTCTGGCACGGTGACAAAGTTGCAAAAAAGTGACTTGAGGTTGGGTCATTCAAAGTGACCTGGTGACCTGACCTGAAAAGTTAGGAGGTTCAAACTTGCACACCATGTGTAAAATTGATGAGAGAATAGTCGTACCAAATTTCGCGGCGCTACGCGCCGCGGTTTTCCCGCTATTCGCGAAAAACCTCAGGGGGGGGGGCGGATATCCGCCCCCCGTCGGTGCGCGGGTTAAGAGACAAATCGAAACAAAGAAGCAATGCGTTTTTTTTCGATCCCCTGTGAATGGACGATGTGAAACACACTGTTTGTGCGCTCTAAACCGAAATAATGCTACGTTCACGCTGTACCCCGGAGTCTGATCGGGCTTTGTTCTCCTGTCGGTAGGTACGCCGTGTACGGCTACACGGGCCAGGGCGTGTTCTCCAACGTGGTCAGAGCCAGAGATCAGGCGCGCGGCAACCAGGAGGTGGCCGTCAAAATCATCCGCAACAACGAGATCATGTCAGTGGCCGCTCCCTCCACCCCGCCCGGGTAGAATTCATCCTTCGTTATTTGTGCCTTTGAGTTGGCTTTTCAAAACGTTGGCTTTTCCGTCACTTGTAAAATACCATTTGAATTTGGTCACAAGGCACTTGGACAGCTGGATAACCAATGTAGAAAAAGTACTGAGCCGCCTGTCCAGCGAACTTTGAAGTGCAGCCTTCAGAGTTCAATAAAATGTGTAGATTGAGCTTTCGCAACACATCACCTAACAAAGAGGCAGAATATGCTCCTTTATTCCATCTCTAAAGGCCGCCCCACACTGGACCTCGCATGCGGGTTGCGAGTTTTTGGGTTTTCGGGTTTCTTCAAAATCAAATAATGCAATCTAAGCTGAGTGACCTTCACTACCATCTAGCAGGTGAGTCTGCATGTTTTTAGCTTGCGAGCGACCTTGCATCGCATTCCAAAAGTTGGTTTTGAGTCAACTTTCGAATTTCCTCGCTGCGAGGTCTGCGAGTTCTGCGAGGTTTGCGGGTTTTTCGTTAGAGTCGAATTTTGGTTCGTTGTGCTGGTATTGCGACTATATGTAAGTTTCTGAAGGCTTCACTGTATTCATGAAGTTACCATAAGGGAGCGATCTAATCAATCTATGAATTAGTATTATGCCCGCAATCTCAAAACCCGCAAACCCGCAACCCGCATGCGAGTTCCAGTGTGGGGTGGCCTTAACCCGTCACTCTATATATCTGCAGGCACAAGACGGGTCTGAAGGAGCTGGAGACGCTGAAGAAGCTCAACGACGCCGACGCCGACGACCGCTACCACTGCCTGCGGCTGTTCAGACACTTTTTCCACAAGTCGCACCTGTGTATGGTGTTCGAGCCGCTCTCCATGAACCTGCGGGAGGTGAGTCAGCGACAGGCAGCGCTACCCTCTCCACGAACACTGCCAAAGTTCGGCGCATGACGGGGACGGCATGTGGTTTGGTTCAGGGAGTCATGTTCGCCTGCCGTGGGCGAAGTTAGGTGCTTTAATCCGGTCTCTGGCAGCTGGTGCTGGTAGTTGAGATGTCGCTTTTAAGGGCCACCGGCACAGATCTTATTTATTTCAATGTCTGCATCAGATATATGAAGGATCCGTCATAGGCCAACTTTCGAGGGATTGAAAAAGAAAACAATGAGTATGACATGTACATTGTATAGTATGTCTAAAAAGAATGTCCCCTCGCCACCACGCGGCGCTGGTGTCGCGAGCCGGTAGTTGGCTGAATCCGGACCAAACCACGCATTCCCATGCGCTGGGCGGCAGCTACGCAGTGGCTGATAGTAGCGTAATCCCGAACCTTCGTGACACGACCTCGGGAAGGAGGGAGGGGTGTGGGCGGGGAGCGCGTGGTGCGCTCCCCCGCCCGCTAAGGAGCGGTGCGCCGCGCGGCGCGCGGTATAGGCTGGCGGCTGTCTCGGCCAAAGGGTAGGGGTCACACACCAAGCCAAGGAGTGCTGATGAGGGTTCGTAGGGACTGTGAAGTTTTGCCACGTTTGACACGTTTGCTACGGGTGCCACGTTTAGCGACGTGTCTGAGCCAAAAGGGAGCGTTGAAGAAAAACATCTGGCTAACCACATCGTGGTAATAGTGTGCCAATGCAGGCCTTCATGACCATAAACAGCTTTTCTAAGTTCGCAGAGGCCACCATTGAACAACAATATCCGGATCGAAGTAAACGATGCCGAGCTACTATCGCTGCAAAAAAACACTCCTGGAAATTTGTGACAGAAAAATACACTCGTCATTTTTGTTTTTGCTATTTTAATGTTTTGTTTCAGTTTTCCTTTAATTGATCAGAAAGAAAAACAAGATTGAAATAAAAAGGAAATTTTACATTATTTTCATAAAGTGAGAACTTTGGATAGTTCATCTTTGGTAGACGCCTAATAAACAATAGTGTTCGCCGAGGAAACTTATAACGCGTTAACCAGGTCAGGGTCAGGTAATATAGCCCAAGGCAAGAAATCGGTTTTTGATAAATAACCGCAAAATTGCCGCAGAGCCGCGGTTTTTGCATAATCGTTTATTTCGCCTCGCTCAGAGGTGTCGAATGGTATAGGCATACGTTTTGTTCGGTTGAGGTCAACTGAGGTTGACCTCAGATCAAGGTCAGGTCAGAGTCCTAGGTCACGAAGTTGGTTAAAGGAGGTGATATCGCATATCATTTGATTCGACAGGTCTTCCACTGCATTGGTAAATGGTGGTTTTCCCGACTCGCTAGCCCAATTTGATCGGGAGCTATTGACGAAAAACTTATGGCCGCAATGACGTCATAAATGACGTTACGCAAGGTCAACAATGCAAAATTTGCAAAACACTAAACCCTCTCTCTCTCTCTCTCTCTCTCTCTCTCTCTCTCTCTCTCTCTCTCTCTCTCTCTCTCTCTCTCTCTCTCTCTCTCTCTCTCTCTCTCTCTCTCTCTCTCTCTCTCTCTCTCTCTCTCTCTCTCTCTCTCTCTCTCTCTCTCTCTCTCTCTCTCTCTCTCTCTCTCTCTCTCTCTCTCTCTCTCTCTCTCTCTCTCTCTCTCTCTCTCTCTCTCTCTCTCTCTCTCTCTCTCTCTCTCTCTCTCTCTCTCTCTCTCTCTCTCTCTCTCTCTCTCTCTCTCTCTCTCTCTCTCTCTCTCTCTCTCTCTCTCTCTCTCTCTCTCTCTCTCTCTCTCTCTCTCTCTCTCTCTCTCTCTCTCTCTCTCTCTCTCTCTCTCTCTCTCTCTCTCTCTCTCTCTCTCTCTCTCTCTCTCTCTCTCTCTCTCTCTCTCTCTCTCTCTCTCTCTCTCTCTCTCTCTCTCTCTCTCTCTCTCTCTCTCTCTCTCTCTCTCTCTCTCTCTCTCTCTCTCTCTCTCTCTCTCTCTCTCTCTCTCTCTCTCTCTCTCTCTCTCTCTCTCTCTCTCTCTCTCTCTCTCTCTCTCTCTCTCTCTCTCTCTCTCTCTCTCTCTCTCTCTCTCTCTCTCTCTCTCTCTCTCTCTCTCTCTCTTCCTCGTGCGGTGCTTGGGGGGGAGGCAGTCTTATAAACGCCGGGGAATGGATATGACGTCACTGGGCATTGGCTAAAGGAAACGGCTATTACGTGCAAAATTGTTTTAACGCATTTAATTTCATCGTATATTGACGGGATCCCAGCGCCCGATTTCATGAAGTTCGATAGTGTCTTCGTTTGCAGCAGCGCGAATTTTACGCTCTAAGAAAATACTCCCGCCATAGAAGTGGTGACTTATTGGAATGGGAGAGCATATTTTGAATGAATTGTGTGCTTGATGCTTCCGCTTGTTTTGGACTGTATTTTCACACATCCACTGCTGAGCGCTCGTATCACTATAAATATTACCTAATGCCGTGAAAAGAATAGCACTCCCTTTATAAGATTGGGCCAGTGCGGTCACGCCCCGCGAGCTCGGCTTCACCGCTCGGCCGCTACGGGCCGAGGAAATCGGTCCTCGCCTGAGGGCAGGACGGAGGTCATGGAGGGAGCGCGGGGTCAGCCAGGTATCGTCTGGTCCCGAGCGGTTGCCCCTCCTTCCCCTCCCTTCCCCTCTCCGACCCTCCCTACCTCGGCGGCGGATTCCGCCAAGTTACTGATTCGCCTACGGTGGGAGAGCCAAACCAGGGGACATACTTTTTAGACACACCGTACAATGGCTAGATCCTAGACTGATGATCCATTATTCGTATCTTTCTTTGGTACTTATTAGAGCTCGTTAGGATAGCTGGTAATGGAACTTTTCTTTTCATCTTTCTTTGAATGCTGACGCCCCTTCAATGTTTCTTCAGTTTGTGCAGAACATAGCAATTAGCACCTCACACAGTACATGTGTTGTTAGATGAACTGTACAAATTGGAGAGCAAAACATTTGTATTGACCGGCCAGTAATGTGTGAAATCAGAACACACTGCCTTCAACAAAGACCGAAATCATAAGCTGTGCTGATTTTTTTTTTATTTATTTTGGATTTAATTGTTTTCATGTAGGTACTTACATTCAAAATCAGGAAAATAGATTTCAATTTCGAGTTTTATTTTGTGCTACGCCTGATGTTGTTTTGTGTTGTGAGATATACATATATGTTTTTGTCATGTCTCAGGGTTTGCCAAATCTGAGGACCATTTTGTCCTATAAGCTCCCTAAAACAGTTGGCCAACATTTACATATTTTTATTATTATACCTTTCATGGTATGTCGCTGGATGGAAACCATTAGTTCAGCATTGTGCGACATATCTTTAAGAACATTCAAGTCGGGGAGTCATCAGCCAAACAGCCAGAGGACACTTGCAGCAATGTGTTGCTTTTGTTTGATCTGTGAATGAATCATAACTGCTGAGAAGAATAGTGTGCAACTTCATGTCCTAGTGGTGTGGTAATGACTGGTGAAGTGGTGCTGATGTATGTGCTAAATTACCAAGCCTCTGTCAGTGAGCGTTCTTTCTCTAGAGTCCAGCTGCTTGTGCCCAGTCCAGTCACACATCTGCCACATTTCCCACCCAGCAGGCTACAAAGATTTATCTCACCGATGTTGGTCGTTATTACACAAGATTCAATAGTTTTTGACATTACAAATACAACTTCAGTGATGCATATCACACTCTTGGTGCTACAAACACCATTGACATCATTAAGTGGACCATAACCATACAAGACACTGCCTGACGAGCACACCACATGAATTACACCATCAGACACTCACTTTACAACTACAGATGAACACTGCCTTTGGCCTGGCAGGCATGGTTGCAGACACAATCACAAGTTCATGAGGGGGAACATCTCATTGTACAGCAGCATATGCACTAGTGCTGCTGTTCAGTTGAACAAGGGATTGTAGGTGACCCAGTGAGCTGTCTGCCTGGTCTTGGCAGACTCATGAGAGGTAAACAGAGATTTATACACTTCTGTCTTCTGCTCATCCCTGGCAACACTGTATGAGGCTGATGCCTTTGCATAAGCAGGATCCATGAGTTTGCCATTATTTGGTAGATTAATAGAGGGACCAGCGAGCACCTTTGTCTTCCTTTCTGTGTCCACCTTTTTCTTCTTTGCCAGTGGTTCACTGACAGTCACAGAATCACCTTCTGCTGTCCTCTTGGACTTCTTCAGGGCTTTGGCCTTGGCCCGCCTCACCTCCATCCGCACTTTCATTGATTCCAGCTCATCATCATCAGGGTTCAGAACTATGACATCATCATCAGTGAATGGCTTGTTGCATTGGTGGCAGGTGTCTGACTTGACCATTTTGATGGCCCGTTCCGAGAATACGCATCCACAGGTCCATAGAAAAACAAACCTGTACTTGCCATTCATCTCCAGGCCTACAACAGGACATATGTACTCTGATGCCTCTGTGTCCAGAGTGCTATCACCCTTATGTGGCACAACTGAAGTAGCCGAGTTCTCAGTGAGGTTCAGGACTTTGACATCCTTCAGGCCCTTGATGTGCTCAGCCGAGACAGGCTTGCTATCTTTATCCAGCAGCACTTCAAGCACTGATGATTTACTGTACAAGCCTCCCAACTCGCATGCCACAATGGGCTTCTCTAACTTGCTTTGGCTGATAGTACAGTTATGCCACTTAAATTTTCTCACAGAATCTTTGTCTTTTTGCTCACCCTGTTTCTTTGTCCTCACTAGCTCGTCTCTTCGTGGGATGGTGCCACCATCGCATCCCATTTTGGCACTTTCTTCGGGTGGTCCAAAGCAAGCAAAATATGGCAAAAATAATGAAAACTGATTCTAGCGGTTTGCACACCCCCTTCGCTAGACAACTCACGAAATAATGCAACTTTCGAATACAAACATGGCGAGTTTAATTACGCTGTAGACGAAAGCGACGCAGCTCTAAATTGCTGCAGTATTTTCGTCCTCGTCACTAAAACGCTGTTTGCACTATTTATAATATACGCTGTGGTTTGCACTGCTACATACCTACAATCACCATCTGGCATCTAGGGGAGAGTGGGGTAATTTGGCCGGTGGTGTAAATTGGCCGCCCCCACCTGTACGAAAGCTGATAAAAGTGAATGAAATAACTTTAGTCCCTTTAGTCTATTTATTTGTCATCGGCAGAACTAACTCGAGAACAAATGTCAAAACTTTCCCCCTCATAGTTTTATTCAAAATTAATAAAAGGTGAATTTCGTTAGAAAATGGTAACTTTTACTTCCGTATAACATACTTACTTATAACATACTTATTTGTATAACATGTAGTATTTGGGCTGTAAACGGATTCCAACATTATAGCGCCATTTTTTAGGGTGTTCAGCGGTTCCAAGAGCAATTTCATCTAGTGTTGTACAGCCATGACGACTTAAAAGACAAAAATTTCACAATGGCCATGTGGGGTTATTTGGCCGGGACTAGCGGGGCAACTTGGCCGGTGCACTCAGAGTCACTATGCTGGGACGGCCGAGTTGTCATGGTCAATTATACCATAAAGGACACGATTCATGACCAACTTTGACTACCTTGATGCCATATTTCCTATTGGACAGCTGTAAGGGCATGTGACGTCATCAAAGGTTACCTATCGCTTTTTTGCTAATAAATACTTACAGAAAAAAGATACAGCCGCGCAAATGGTCTCATTGTGTTCAGCTCGTCGAGGCGCATCGAATGATATACAATAGAGGTGGCAAAATGTGGACCCGAGGACCCGGTCCAAAGAACCAGTCTGGACCCATATGGGTCCAGACCGGTTCCTGGAAATTTTCTGACGGGTCCAACCGGGTCCTACCACAAACTATACATCTTGCACACTACACATTATTGCAAAATATGAAGTGAATGAAGTGAATGTTTCTTTGCACACAAGCTCATGAGTATTCCCAGTGGGAAATAGGCTGTTATACATGATGCAACTAATGATGTCTACAAGTAATTTGTATTAATTGACTTTTGGGGACCGGGTCCAACTGGTTCCGATTCCAACTAAGACCGAGTCCGACTGGTTCCAGAAATGTCCAACCGGGTCTGGTTCGAGTCTGGTTCCCAAAATTTTCATCTTTTGCCACCTCTAATATACATGATGACCTTGGACTCACGTAACCTTGAGGTCAAGCGACCTGAGGTAGCGTGACCTGAAGCCAACCTTTGTCCTTGACCTCTCGAGGTCAACACATACATGTTTCGATGCGGAATGACGAGAGAATTACGATGGTACTTTTAGTTTTGGCCTAGCTTGATTACTTCAAAAGCTATTCGTAAAAAACGGTCAAGGTCATCGCATCTAAAGCCGCTATTTTGACTATTTTCGACCCCTGTGACGGCTGAGTCAAACCTCCAAAATGCTTCAAATGCGTCGCAGGACACACGCCATTGCTGAATGTGAAGCTGACTCTTCTATAACCAAAATCAGGGCCTCAAACTAACACCGGCCAAATTGACCCACACCCACGGACAAATAACCCTGCTAGTGGGGCAATTTGGCCGCTTTGCAGTCCTTTGTAATACGTCACAATTTCAATATAAGTAGTTAATCTATCATTTCAAGTTTACTGTTCAAGAAAGTAAAATGTATGCCACACCTGTCAGCGTTGAGAAAATGCAGAAATGTGTTGTCGATTTTTAGTTACATCGTTTTCTAAAAAAAGCGGCCAAATTACCCCACTCTCCCCTACTACACCTTTTTGCACATTAAATGAATTCAACCATTCGCCATAAGGGTTTAAGGAGCCATTTTGACAATCGGCATTGAGCACAACTTTTCCGGCGTTGTATGTTTCATTTCAGCCATTCAGCAAAGTAGATTGAACACTGAAATGAGAAATCTGCAAGTGAGGCCCAGGGCTGCGGAGTCGATGGATTTTCGGCGACTCCGACTCCGACTCCGACACCGGCTTTCAAAAACCAGCTCCGAATCCGACTCCGACTCCGGGCAGAATTGTCGACTCCGACCGACTCCAACTCCCGACTCCGACTCCGCAGACCTAGCAGGGCTGCGGAGTCGACAGATTTTCGGTGACTCCGACTCCGACTCCGGCTCGGGTTTCTAAAATCGACTCCGACTCCGACTCCGGTCACAACTGTCGACTCCGACCGACTCCGACTCCGACTCCGACTCCACAGCCCTGTGCAAAACAGTTTGACACTTCTCCAGACTTCGGCATTGAGCAAGACATCTCGGCATATGACGAATAGTTTCAACCACTGATGATTTGTTTTGCACAATGTTGAACCGTTCGCTCAATGTTGAGTCGTAGAGGAAGACCGCCGAATAGTTTTGAACAGTGGCGGATCCAGGGGGGGGGGGCAAAATTGGCATTTGCCCCCCCCCCCAAACGGCATAATTTTAACATTACGCCTATGGACGATGCATGGAAAGAATCGATAAATTGTTATGGTTTGCCTCCCCCCCCAAAAAAAAAGCTCTGAGCTGGATCCGCCTCTGGTTTTGCACGATGGCGATTCTTTGCGACCAACCGCCCAGTTGTGGCGCCACGCCACCTATAAGGCGAATGTGTACAAATGTTTTGTCCAATGGTCAAAAGCTAACGCAAAAAGGTGTACTGCATCACCAAAACTACTTGCACTGTTTAATTATTCACGAAATGAAATGGGTCTCGTTTCATAAAGCGAGTCCGTAGCTTACGCCGGTTTTTGGTCTTGTATTGCATGTGCATGTGAAGCGATGACAATAGTTTGAATCGTTGAATTTATTTATCTTGCAAGCAAGAACAGAAGTGAGAAGGGGAAATAAATTTATCGCTTCACATGCGCTTGTAATACAAGCCCAAAAACTGGCGTAAGTTACGGACTCGCTTTATGAAACGAGGCCATGGATTTAGGGGAGACCCGGGAGGTATGGGCCCCCTGGAGGTATGGGCCATCGCAGTTTTGAAGAAGTGTTGCGCATTTTTACACATTTGACGGTGTTAACTGGTACCAGCCATTCAGTGATTACATCCCACGTGATTTTCAAAACCTTCCTCAGTCTTCTATGGCAATGAGCGGCGATAAAGCGTTGTTGCCCTCTTCGAGTAAAATACGGCACATACAGAAAATTCGTGATAAATTTGAACCAGGCTCGTTTTATGATGTCCGACCATCGCTAACATAAAGCGACATAAAGTCGCTTTATGTGTTTAACGACACGGAGTTCATTTATTGAAAGCATGCAAATTAAGACTGGATAGACAATATGAAGCTTTCTTGCAAGATTATGAGCTGAGATGCTACGCACATTATGGCGTCCTAACCGGGAGGTTTGGGCCACTGAAGCAAGCTATTGGCCGCTTATGCGGATCCTGGGCTCTAAGAGAGATCGAGGTAGATACCAGCTACGAGTATTATTCTCATTGTCGAGAAAATAATATGAAACATGGCACCGGCCCATACCTCCCGGGCCATGGCCCATACCTCCCGGTGCATTTTGATGGATCGAAAAAGCACATGATTTATTGAAAGTTATCTCGAGACAAAATAGTTGATCCAAGATGCCTAATATCAGGCACACGTTGCAGGCGAAAGGCAATTTCACGTACACAGAGTGAAAAACCGAGTCTAGCCACTGCCCACTGGAAGAAAATTGCCTTTTCATGAAACCGGCCCATACCTCCCGGGTCTCCCCTACACATATGACATACTATACTCCATATAATCAAAGACTTTCAAAAATTTCTTTGAAGGGCTCTAATGCCTAATCCTCGCCGGCCGGGGGCGAGTATACCTACCCCCCACCCCACCCCGGACGTTTTGTTTTCGCGATAGCTCGGAACCTGTAGGCTAGAGAATCCTTCAAAGGGCGATGAAGCTTACAGTACATGCTTAGTAGCCTCCCGTGCCCTCACAGAATGTGCATCTCGAATTTTTCCTGAGGGTCGCCTGAGGTCATGATGGTCGCATTACCTCAATGGGGAAATGGGGAAATAGGTATGGGGGTTTTCTTCGCCGGAAATTATGTTGGACTTTCTCGAACGCCTGCAATCGTGATGTCTTGCACTCATTGTAAGGTTCGATGTTTAATTTTTGCATTGTGAGCTTGCGTGGAGTCGTTATGATGTCACTAAGGTCATCAGAGTTTTTTGTCAATAACTCCCTATCAAAGTGAGTTAGCGAGTCTGGAAAGCCACGTTTGTACTATGAAAGACTTTCCAAATCGAATTGTATGCGATATCAACTCTTTCGATCAACTTAGTGACCTGGGTGGCTTTGACAATCTTGGCTTTTACCTGACTTCTACCGGAGTTCAGCACCCAAAGCCAAATTTGACCTTTGACCCAAACCAAAAATTATTGATTTCACGTGCAGGAGCACTGCACCGAGTCCCGTACATCGGACGGCGCGGGACACCCGACGGTGCTCCGACGGTTTTACTGAGTCAGAGACCATTCCGATGGGACGTGAATGTCCCGATGGGACAGCCCGCTCTGGCGCTCAGTGACCCGGGAGAGGCTGTAGTCCAACGAGGGCTTGCCCTCACCACCGTTTGTCTAGTGGGGGTGACTGCCAGCCCGGAAAGGGAAGCGTGAGGGGGAATGCGGATGGGCTTGACCTGAGCGTGGGATTGAAGGCCGGGTCCTGCTCGGCACCGGGTCTTTCACGTAGGAGGCGAAACGTTACGGCCCGTTATACCTCCATTTAGGCCTATATTGAAAATTAAAGCGGCCATCGGTAGCAGCTCCGTCGGGCGTCGATGATCTATCGGTCGAACAGAGCCAGTCTTATTAAAATATGAATGCAATTTAGAAATATTTCTCTGAAATGAGCTGTAAAGTCTTTCCTCTCCTTGAACCTGCATACTTAGTGTGTTTACCAATAGCGTCTCCATTCTCACCCGTACCCTGTCCGTTCTGCCGCCAGATTCTGAAGAAGTACGGCAAGCAGAACGGCAAGGAGATCGGCCTGCACATGAAGGCAGTGCGCTCGTACGCGCAGCAGATGTTCCTGGCGCTGCGGCTGCTCCGAAAGTGCAACATCCTGCACGCCGACATCAAGCCCGACAACATTCTGGTACGTACCAGAGCGACGCACCTGAGCGGCGTCTGCCGCAGCCCTGGTGCCGCCGCGGTGTGCCCTGACAGCAGACGATGACGGGGGAGGGGCATCACTGGTTATAATAAATTAAGTATTAACTACGGTAGATTGTCGCCTTTTGCAGCGCATCGGGAAGAATTGAATTGGTCTGTACTTAGACGTTTTTTGCTGTAGTATCATTTTCAGTTCTGTAGCTTTAATACCTTCTATGTGAACGCCAGCAAAGCAGTCAGGTGATTCCAAATGTCCGCACTCCAACGTCTCACAAAGGTCTTTTATTAGCTCCCCACTCCCCTGCTTCCCGTCTCCCGTCTGACCCCCCTCCCCCCCCCCCCTCTCGGCGCCAGGTGAACGAGAACAAGCTGGTGCTGAAGCTGTGCGACTTCGGATCGGCGAGCAACGTGGCTGAGAACGAGGTGACGCCCTACCTGGTGTCGCGCTTCTACCGCGGCCCAGAGATCATCTTGGGCATGCGCTACGACTTCGGCGTGGACATGTGGTCCACGGCCTGCACGCTCTACGAGCTCTACACCGGGCGCATCATGTTCGCCGGCAAAACCAACAACCAGGTACGGGGCAGAAGACGTGGGCAGGCGTGGTAGTGGGTGTGTCGCTGGTGTTATTGGGTGGGCAAAGCAGTTCATGATTGTAACTGATTGATGCGCAAAAATCATTCAAATTTGCACTTTGCGGCCCGTAAATTTAGCCATTGGCATCATTCATGATTGCGCAAAATGTACGGCGTCCAATAATTTCCGCCGTTATCAGCCTTCCGTAAGCAGCTGCCTGGTCCTGAAAATATTTTTAAGCTAGCTACTTAAAGATCTAACGAATAGGTTGTTTCTGATAAAGGCTGCAATTATCACTGTTTTGTGTTTTGTGATGTTCCGTGCGATTTAAAATGTCTTTAAGGCGTCGAACTCGAAAATGGCTCAGAGTTAATCTGTTCTTTTCAAAGCCTTTTAAGGTCCGCTCGCTGTTGAGAGTAATTAAGTGGGGCCGTTTGGTGTTGGTCTGAGGCGGCTCTCGTGCCTGTCGAGTCGTGTCTCCTTGGTCGCCCGCTGTTATTGAGTGTTCAAAGGAGGGTGGCGGCGTTTTGTCGATACGCCGGCCCACCGGACCGGAGGCAATTCAAAGTGCACCTGTCACGCGTAACGGCCCCGGGAGTGGCTGCGTCGGGGAGGTGAGCGGCGTCGGCCCCTCCCCGTCCGTCCCTGCTCCCGCGGACACGAACGGTGCGCCGGGGACGGGTCGGTCGGCGGGCGCCGGCGGGGATCCGAAACTGAACTGCCGTTCGAGACACTATCCAATCGCTCAGAGTGTCCAGCTTTGGTTGAGAATGCTGTTAGATGCTCCTAGTAAACATCAAGGCGTAGGCGCATGGGTCACGAGCTTGGTCTGTTCAGTGACGTCCCGAAATCCTTGGCCTGCGTTCAGCAATGTTATGTAGTGTGCATCGTAATGTATAACACTTTCCATTAACTGAATTGTTGAGTCTTCGTTCCCTTCCCGTGTAGTCCAGACGCCCCAAGCTCAAATAATCATCAGTCTTTACTCCTATGCCCCAGTAAAGCCGCTGGCCGTGCGCCGACTTCCGACCAGGTGGCCGGACAGGCTGTCCTCACCTTTCACACGGCTGTATGTCATGAACCGGCGCTGGTATACGTGATCGCATGGCTCAGACTACTTAAACGCGTTTATGCTACGTAATGCAAGTTTATAAAACCATTCGAACACTGATGCGAACGAGGGAGAGCGTAAGAAAGTTTTGCAGCTGATACACTCGGCCCCAATTTTTTAGCCCCTTCATTGCCATCCTCAAGTAATGTCGGAAAACGCTCGTTTTACTTTTTACCAATGTGAAATAACTATGTATGTGCCTTATTCTATTTCCCAGATGCTCAAGTTCTTCATGGACCTGAAAGGCAAGATCCCCAACAAGCTGGTGAGGAAGGGTCAGTTCAAGGACCAGCACTTCGATGGCAACTGCAACTTCCTCTGCCAGGAGGTGGATAAGGTCACTGAGCGGGTAAGTCCTCTGCCTGCCGGACGCAGTCTGTACCGAGCCGACATCTCCATTTTCCGTGCAGATTGCATATGCAGATTACAGATGCGTTGCAATACTGATTTATGCTATCCCGCACCCGGCTCGCCGGTAGGAATTTAATCCAAAAGTTTTACTTATCTGAGGTAGATGGTGGGCTGGGTTCTCCATGTCTAGCGTGGATCTGTCGCCATTTACCATCTGACGTGCAGAACAACAAGGGTGCCTCGGACTCACTGACACCGAGTCGCTGGTCGGGCACCGCCGCACCCTATGTAGCACGCCGGTAGGCGGTAAGCCGGTTCTTACGTCTGTCTTGTTCGTCCGCAGGAAAAGACGATCGTGATGTCGTCGATTCCTCCGACCCGAGACCTGCTGCAGGAGCTGATCGGAGTGCAGAACCTCTCCCCCGAACACCTGAAGAAGGTAAGTCACGCGCCTCGGCCGGCGGCTGGCCGGCGATAGGTGCTTCTGATCAGGGGTACCACTCACGGTCTCCTGTCACCATTGCACTTGTTCCAGTTCTTTTTTTTAAGTAACAATACTTTTTGTTCGCTTTTTATGCAAAGGTATTAAGTCAACTTAAAAGTCACCATTTTTTAGGTTGGCGTCTGTTAAGTAATTAATTTACTTGCTTCCTAGTTTTGAAGTTTGATGAAACTTTTTTCTTCATTTGGTACAGTTTCGATAATAGTGTTTTTTTCCCTCCCGTAGTTCAGTTGTATTACATACATATTGATGATATGATGCCTGCTGTTGATTTCACTTTTTGGACGGTTGAAACCAAGTTGAAACCCTCAATATCTACCCGTAAAATTCGACCGCCAATCTTAGGAAAACCGACGAACCCGAGCTTCCGTGATAGGCGAAGCTTCTTTTTGTTCCTTAGACGGTCGGAAAGACTGACTGCATTATCTGCAAAAGCAGAACCGTTTTTTTTGTAGCAATTGCAAGCTAATTCCATTTCGAACATGCTGAGCCAGGCGAATGTGAGCAGTGGTGATGCATAAGTGCCAAAATCAGTGCAGTGCTGTGATTTGTGAAAATATAAGAATGGTAAACAAGGCTGGCCCACTTCTACACATCGCCAAGGGTAGTGCTCAGGGTAGGCATTTTTGCCGTTGCCATTTTAACCGGCAAAAAGTGGCAAAAACTGGCCAAAGCTAAAAATCAGCTTAACGCTGTGCCTACGCGTGCATTTGAATAGGAAACATTTTGAGGATGGTTCAGTGAAAGCTATATGCTTTCAACCAGAAGTGAGATAATAATATCATTCCAGAGTACTTCATATCTTCACCTTTGCACTTTTGGGGGGTTTGGACGAACACCCCCTCGGTTTTCGTGAATAGCTCGTATAAAAAAGCGGCAAATCACGACGAAACGTTCAGTACCCTCGAGCTAATTAATTTTGCACATGCTCTAAAAACTTCACGACCCTTGTCCCTGACTCAAATATCCTTTGACCTGTGACCTGTTTCTCGACCCTGCCAGACCGGAATTGCGATTCGGCGTACGTCGGCGCACACTATCGTGCGTTTTCAGACTTGTGGTGATTAGAAAAGTGACAGCATGTGGAATGTATTCTTATCCCTTGCGTTGCGGGGCTGCAAAGGTCATAGACAAGTTGGGAATTTCATAAATAAGCTCGAAAATTACATAGGACACAATCGGGCAGCTTTATGACAGTTATCACAGCTGATACGCACCGTAGACGTTTTGAGCAGCAGAAAACTAGCGAGGCAAAGTTCAGGATGTTGAGTGCATCCCAATGACATCCAGGCATGCATTTGTACATTTCAACGAATGGCTTACTACAAAAAAAAACAGCCAAATTTTGGCCACTTGAGTTTTAGCTAGCTTTTGCCGTTTTTGCCAGTTTTTGCCACAATTGTTTCTGCCAGCCGTTTTAAACCGGTTAAAACCACTGGCAAGACCAGTTTTTGCCACCCACTGCCAACCTTGGACTAGTGCTCACGTCGTTTATTATACGTGGTTTATCTCACGTCAGTAAGTTGTTTTGGCATTGAATAGCATTATGTTGTTTACTCGTGGTGCGCCATTCCTAATCTTTCATATAAATCTGGGTTTCCCAGTCCTCAGTGACTGGCAACGGTTCTGCGACACCTGAGCGAGCGTCATTTCAGCGAACGACATTTGAGCGAAGCCTTTTCAGCGATTATCAATTTAAGCGATTGACTTTTTCAGCGATTGTCAAGTCGGCGAATTCAATCACAGCGATTATCAACTTAAGCGAGGACCAGAATCAGCGAAACCAGATTGAGCGAATATATGGAGGTCAATGGGGGACCAATTGAGCGAACACAGTTACAGCGAAACCGAACGCGACGGAAGTCAATCATTTGCTACTTTTCGGGAATTCTTGCCCTTGGAATACCCGCTTGGTATGTGTCATGCTTCAAGCTGCGCGCGGCAAATTAAGCTTGGAAACCACAAAAATATCTGGCCTCACTTTGATCTGGAAATGTGGAACGTGAGAGATAGGACGATGGAAGGAATGCCAAGGACCAATAATAAACTCGAGGGATGGCACATGGGGATCCAGTCTATGTTTCATGGACCTCACCCAAATATCTGGAAATTCGTACGGTGCTTGGGGCAAGAACAAATTTTACAACATGGGGGGAACTGATCCAAACTCAAGCAGGGGAATTTCGCGAAAAAACAGCACAAGCAATATGAATCTCTGAACAAACGTTTGGTCATCATTATTGGCAAACAGCAGGGGGGGGGAGGGGGTGAAATCGAACCGATGTAATTTTTTAGACATGTGGCATTAAATTTGGAGCTTAACGTCTGAACTTTGGACGTGACATCCGCCATCCAGTTCCGGATAACCATGAAAAGTTCCGGAAGCATTCGTTGCACGAACGCTCGCAAAAGAAAAAAAGAAAAAAATACACCGTTACGGGACGATGAAGTGTTTCGCTGAAATGACAGTCGCTCAAACTGTAGTCGATGAAAAATATGTCGACCGCCCTAAACAGAGCAAGTTAGCGGCAGGCCACGGCGGTGTAGCAATTTTGGCGCAAGAAACACTCAAGGTTGTGGTATTGCCCACACCAGTGACAGAAAATCAAGAACAGTCGAATTTGGAGATAATCTGGGCGCAGATACAGTCGGGAAATGGTCGGCAGATCCTGTTCGCATCAGCTTACAGACACCCCACCAACACGGTACATCAAGTAACTGCAGACCTAGATGACCTGAACGCCCAGTTAAACTACATGATGACAGCTCACCCACGCAAGCATGTGATACTGTCAGGTGACTTTAACGCGTGTTTACTGAAGAACACGGGTAGTACACCGGGCGTTAGACTAATGGAAGTGTTGCGCTTGAACGGCCTAGTGCCTGTCAATTTGAAAAGGCCAACATACCGACCAGCTGCCTCATTGATTGACGTTATCGCAACTAGCCAGAGCGGAAACGTTGTGAGATCCGGTGTTACTCGGTGCCATTTAGGAGGCCCGCACGACTACACTAGGATAATGATACGACAAAACTGCAAGAGCCGCGCTCACAGAAGTGTCTCTATCCGAAAGCGTTGCCTGGGCAGCGTTGACTCAACCGAGTTCAATGTCTACTTGTCGCGCATTGACTGGAACGGGGTGTGGCTGAGTGGCAGCACTGAGGCGGCGTGGGAGTCATTTGTGGCCGTGTTTACCCGAGCCTTGGACACGGTAGCACCGATACGGCGAGTGCGGGGGAGACCACAGGGGGCGCTACCTGTGACCGCGGCTACCCGTGACCTGATGGCCAGCCGGCGCCGTGCGCTCGCAGATACATCGGCCGCCGGACGCGAGCGGTACAAGGCTCTCAACCGCCAGTGCCGAGCCGCAATCAGGTCAGACGAGGCCTCCTATCTAGAGAATGAGTGCAAGAAAGAAGGTCCTGCAAAAATGTGGCGTGTGTTGAAGCCGATTATAGGCGACAAAAAGGGAGCTTGTGATGTACCGCACGTCACACCAAACGCACTAAATGCATTCTTCTCTCAGATGGGGCGAGAGACTGCCAATAGCGTGCCAGTACCGACTCGCACCCAGCCGGTGAGACTGCCACGGGTCCATACCTGTCAGTTTAAGGTGGATACTGTGGACATTGATACGCTGATGACTGTCGTGCACAGCATGAAACCATCGACAGCCACGGGTCTTCAGGGTATAAGTGTGCAAATGATGCAGAAATTCTTTTATAGTATCGGGCCTGTCTTGCTCAATATTATCAACTCTAGTCTGTCTAGTGGCGAAATACCAACGGCATGGAAACATGCAGTCATCACACCGTTACCCAAAACACCCAAACCGTCGCAACCGTCTCAGTATCGCCCTGTGTCTGTACTGCCAGCTCCAATGAAAGTGATTGAGCGCGTCGTGCAGCAACAGCTGGCTCAATACTTCAGAGACAACGGTCTGTTCACACACCACCAGCATGGCTACAGGGCGTCGCACTCCACAGAGACCGCTTTAGCTGTAGTGACTGAGCGCATTTATCGAGCGATGGACGGAGGCAGTGTTAGCATTTTAGTGTTGCTCGACCTGTCTAAATGTTTTGACAGCGTAGACCACCAGCGATTACTCACGAAGCTAGCACTGTATGGCATCGATGTGACTTGGTTCGCGAGCTACTTGGCCGGCCACTCTCAACAGGTCAAAGTCAGTGCGGGTGAGGGAGAGCCGATCATGTCCGACACTTTACCCAATGACAGCGGTGTATCTGTATACCAGGGCGGTTCTCTTAGTTGTATTCTATACGCCATCTATGTGAATGATATTGGGCTTTACGTTGATGATGTAGAAGTTATTCAGTTCGCAGACGATACCCAACTTCTTATAACCGGACCAAAGAAACATCTTAACGCGATGATCACAACTCTCGAACGCGCTCTCGATCAACTCGCAAATTGGCTCAATGAAAACCGGCTGAAGGTCAATGCCGCGAAAACGCAAATGATACTTTTTGGAACGAGGGCGATGCTGAAAAACCAGCCGAAGATATCGGTAAACTTCTGCGGCACAGCCATCGAGGAATCCCGCGTAGTTAAGAATTTAGGACTCTATATGGATAGGCACCTGACATACGTAGATCATGTAGACCACGTGGTAGGAAAATGCAGTGGCATTCTGGTTGCGCTGACGCATGCAAAGCATAGCCTTCCAAAAACCTCGCTCAAGCCACTGGTCAGCGCTCTGGTTATGTCTGCCGTTAGATACTGTTTGTCCATCTATAGCACGTGCACAAAAACAGAACTCCATCGCATACAGAAAATCATACATTTTGGAGCGAGAGTGGTCAGCGGAAAGAAAAAGTTTGAACATATTTCTGGAGTGCTCAAAGACCTCAAATGGCTAACAGCATCTCAACTTGCTCAATACCACCGCGTCCAGATGGTCAGCAAAGTGCTGGCA